GCAAGTTGTTCTCCAACCTGGATCTCCTATGAAGAGTGGCATCATGGGCACATCAAAACAACTCTCATGATCTGAAAACAAAGATTGTTCAACACAGTTGTTTAGCGGAAGGATACAAAAAGTTATCTCAGAGATTTAATCTGTCAGTTTCCACTGTGAGGAACATAGTAAGGAAATGGAAGACCACAGGGACAGTACATGTTAAACCCAGAAGTGGCAGGCCAAGAAAAATATCAGAGAGGCAGAGAAGAAGAATAGTGAGAACTGTGAAGGACAACCTACAGACCACCTCCAAAGACCTGCAGCATCATCTTGCTGCAGATGGTGTCACTGTGCATCGTTCAACAATTCAGCGCACTTTGCACAAAGAGAAGTTGTATGGGAGACTGATGCGACGGAAGCCTTTTCTGCAAGCTGAGTCGCTTGAGGTCTGCAAAAGCACATTTGGACAAGCCAGCTTCATTTTGGAATAAGGTCCTGTGGACTGATGAAACAAAGATTGAGTTGTTTGGTCATAAAAAAAGGCGTTATGCATGGCGACAAAAAACACAGCGTTCCAAGAAAAACACTTGCTACCCACTGTGAGATTTGGTGGAGTTTCCATCATGCTTTGGGGCTGTGTGGCCCCAAAGCATGATGGGGCCACATCATGCTTTGGGGCATGATGTGGGGCATTCCCGGTACTGGGAATATTGTTAAAGTTGAGGGTCGCATGGATTCCACTCAATATCAGCAGATTCTTGAGACTAATGTTCAAGAATCAGTTACGAAGTTGAAGCTACGCCGGGGATGGATATTTCAGCAAGACAATGATCCAAAACACCGCTCCAAATCTACTCAGGCATTCATGCAGAGGAACAATTACAATGTTCTGGAATGGCCATCCCAATCCCCAGACCTGAATATTATTGAACATCTGTGGGATGATTTGAAGCAGGCTGTCCATGCTCGGCGACCATCAAACTGAACTGAACTGGAATTGTTTTGCAAAGAGGAATGGTCAAAAATTCCTTCATCCAGGATCCAGGAACTCATTAGAAGCTACAGGAAGCGACTAGAGGCTGTTATTTTTGCAAAAGGAGGATCTACTAAATATTAATGTCGCTTTTCTGTTGAGTGCCCATATTTTTGCACCTGTCAAATTTTGTGTTTATGTGTACTGCACATTTTCTTTCAGTCCAATAAACCCCATTTCAATATTGAAATGTTACTGTGTCCATAAGTTATTGGTTATAACAAACTGAAATAGTTATTGCAAACATCCAAATATTTAGAGATGAAAATAATTTAGATTAATAAGGGTGCCCAAACTTTTTCATATGACTGTATAAAAAATTCCCTTCTCACCCACCGCAGGTGGTTCTTATCCTCTGAGCTCTGGTCCTCTACCAGAGGCCTGGGAGCTTGAGGGTTCTGCGCAGTATCTTGGCTGTGCCAAGGACTGCACATTTCTGGACTGAGATGTCTGATGTTGTTCCTGGGATCTGTTGTAGCCACTGCTCCAGTTTGGGGGTTACTGCCCCGAGGGCCCCGATGACCACAGGCACCACTGTGGTCTTCACCTTCCAGGCCCTCTCCAGTTCTTCCCTGAGGCCCTGGTATTTCTCCAGTTTCTCGTGCTCCTTTTTCCTGATGTTGCAATCACTTGGTATTGCTACATCTACCACAACAGCTTTCCGCTGTTGTTTATCCACTACGACAATGTCTGGTTGGTTGGTTCGCCATTACCATTCTGTCTGTCTGGATCTGGAAGTCCCACAGGATCTTAGCTCTGGCGTTCTCCACCACCTTTGGGGGTGTTTCCCACTTTGATCTCGGGGTTTCTAGTCCATATTCTGCACAGATGTTTCTGTACACTATGCCTGCCACTTGGTTATGTCGTTCCATGTACGCTTTCCCTGCCAGTATCTTGCACCCTGCTGTGATGTGCTGGACTGTCTCAGGGGCCTCCTTGCACAACCTACACCTTGGGTCTTGTCTGGTGTGGTAGATCTGGGCCTCTATTGCTCTGGTGTTTAGGGCCTGTTCCTGGGCAGCCAGGATGAGGGCCTCTGTGCTGTCCTTGAGTCCAGCTTTTTCCAGCCATTGGTAGGATTTACTGATATCAGCCACTTGGGTTATTTGCTGGTGGTACATCCCATGTAGGGGCTTGTCCTCCCATGATGGTATCTCTGGCACCTCAACCTCCGTTCCCTGTTGTCTGAGACATTCACTGAGCACATTGTTTGTTGAGGCTTTGTCCCTGATGTATTTATGGATCTTAGTTGTTTCGTCCTGGACAGTGGTTCTCACACTCACTAGTCCTCTGCCTCCTTCCTTGCGGCTCGTGTACAGTCTCAGGGTGCTGGATTTGGGATGGAACCCTCCATGCATGGTTAGTAGTTTTCTGGTCTTAATATCTGTGGCTTTTATCTCCTCCTTTGGCCAGCTAATTATTCCAGCAGGGTATCTGATTACTGGCAAGGCATAGCTGTTTATCGCACGGATTTTGTTCCTGCCATTGAGCTGGCTTCTCAGGACTTGCCTTATTCGTTGAAGGTATTTAGCTGTGGCTCCTTTCCTTGTGACCTCATCGAGGTTGCCATTTGCTTGTGGTATACCTAGGTACTTGTAACTGTCCTCTATGTCTGCTATTGTTCCTTCTGGGAGTGAGACCCCTTCTGTGCGGATCACCTTCCCCTCTTTGTGACCAGCCGACCACATTTCTCTAGTCCGAATGACATCCCAATGTCCGTGCTGTAGATCCTGGTGGTGTGGATCAGTGAGTCGATGTCTCGCTCACTCTTGGCGTACAGCTTGATGTCATCCATGTATAGTAGGTGACTGATATTGGCCCCATTTTTGAGTCTGTATCCGTAGCCAGTCTTGTTGATAACTTGGCTGAGGGGGTTCAGTCCTATGCAGAACAGTAGCGGGGACAGAGCATCTCCTTGGTATATGCCACATTTGATGGACACTTGTGCAAGTGGTTTGCAGTTGGCTTCAAGCGTGGTTTTCCACAGCTTCATCGAGTTTGCAATGAAGGCTCTCAGAATCCTGTTGATGTTATACATCTCTAGGCATTCAATGATCCAAGTATGCGGCATTGAGTCATAGGCTTTCTTGTAATCGATCCAAGCCATGCACTGGTTGGTGTGTCGGGTTTTGCAGTCTCGGGCAACTGTGCGGTCTACGAGGAGTTGGTGTTTGGCTCCTCTGCTATTTACACCGATACCCTTCTGTGCCGTGCTCATGTGTTTATCCATGTGTTTGCTTATCTTGGCCGCTATGATGCCTGACATGAGCTTCCAGGTTGTGGAGAGGCAGGTTATTGGTCGGTAGTTGGGTGGGACTGGACCCTTTGATGGATCCTTCTGGATTAGGATTGTCCGCCCTTCAGTTCATTTGGGCTTCCAGTCGCTCATGGAGAGCAGTGAGTTTCTTTAGCCAGTAGGCATGGATCATGTCAGGCCCTGGTGCTGTCCAGTTTTTCATACCTGAGACTCTTTCTTGAACATCTGTCACAGTGATGGTTACCGGGGCTTGCTCATATATATATATAAGAACCACCCGCGGTGGGTGAGAAGGGAGTTTTTATATATATATATATATATATATATATATATATATATATATATATATATATATATATATATACAGTTAGGGCCAGAAATATTTGGACAGTGACACAGGTTTTGTTATTTTAGCTGTTGACAAAAATATGTTCAGAAATACAATTTATATATAATATGGGCTGAAAGTGCACACTCCCAGCTGCAATATGAGAGTTTCCACATCCAAATCGGAGAAAGGGTTTAGGAATCATAGCTCTGTAATGCAGAGCCTCCTCTTTTTCAAGGGACCAAAAGTAATTGGACAATGGACTCCAAAGGCTGCAAGTAACTCAAAAGGCCTTTCCCTCGTTAACCTGTAATCAAGTAAGTAGTTAAAAGGTCTGGGGTTGTTTCTAGGTGTGTGGTTTTGCATTTGGAAGCTGTTGCTGTGACCAGACAACATGCGGTCAAAGGAGCTCTCAATTGAGGTGAAGCAGAACATCCTAAGGCTGAAAAAAAGGAAAAAATCCATCAGAGAGATAGCAGACATGCTTGGAGTAGCAAAATCAACAGTCTGGTACATTCTGAGGAAAAAGGAATTGACTGGTGAGCTTGGGAACTCAAAAAGGCCTGGGTGTCCACGGAAGACAACAGTGGTGGATGATCGCCGCATACTTTCTTTGGTGAAGAAGAACCCGTTCACAACATCAACTGAGGTCCAGAACTCTCAGGGAAGAAGGAGGAAACCCAGCGTTTGGTGATGTCCATGGGTTCCAGACTTAAGGCAGTGATTGCCTCCAAAGGATTCGCAACAAAATATTGAGAAAAAACTTTTTTGTTTGGGTTATGTTTATATGTCCAATTACTTTTGAGCTCCTAAAATGTGGAGTGTTTGTAAACCATTGTGTACAATTCCTACATTTTCTATCACATATTTTTGTTCAACCCTTTAAATTAAACGTTACAATCTGCACTTGAATTCTGTTGTAGAGGTTTCATTTCAAATCCAATGCGGTGGCATGCAGAGCCCAACTCACAAAAATTGTGTTACTGTCCAAATATTTCTGGCCCTAACTGTATATATATATATATACAGTTAGGGCGATGTGTGTATTGGCAGACACACATCGACACACATCGACATCGACAAACTGAACCAAACAGCAGTCCTATGTTTGCGTCATGGTGGAAAAGCAATAGCTAATTCCCAGCACTTGTCCCTAGATGGGCACTTGAATAAATTATCACTTATTGAAGTGATAATCATTTAAAATAGCACAACATAATGTTGACAACATCTACAAACAAAAAAATATAGTAAGTCAATAATAGCAGCAAAATCACAAGAACAATAAAGGCTATCATTTGTCAAGTAATATATTACATAAAGTCCCTCTAATTAATTAAGACATTTACTGGCACGTTTTCTTGTTTACTTTCTGTTTCCAGGTTAACCGGGTTACTTACTGCAGAAGCTCCTCGGCGTTGTGTTCCTGCAGCTCCTGTATTAGTTGCACTGGCAGCGCGTCCCACTGAAGGAACTCTGCTTCTTGTTTCTGTCAAACAGAAGCACTTTTTGTATCATAAGTAAAATACATCAGCAATTCAGCACCGCTACAAACATTAATCTTAATGGATATTCATACCTCTTCTCCGGACATGTTAGCATTGCGGTGGTCATGGCAACGGGCAGTTAAATTGTTCTTCCTCATTTAAAGGGGAACTCCGTTTAATTAACAGTCTTTGATTGTTCGCTATTTAGCAATAAATTATTTTAGAAATAAATACATTTTATTTATTTAATGTTATTATTAAAAAGCAGATGTGTTGTCTTGTAGAAGTGCTTGATAACAAACAATTAGTGACAGGAGATTTAAAAAACGAAACAGTACCATATAGCTATGTAATACCAAAGTAAAAATGTTTAAATGAGTAAATTAATCTGAATTTATTGAAATATTGAAATAATCAAAAACCAAACAGCACAAATACTGGAAGATTTCAGACGAAGGAAGACGTTTGGAGATGTGGAGCCCTACCTCGGTCTAAAAGGTTCTGTCCTCCGTCAATGTTGTCTTGTTGCAAAATGCAACATTGTGTATGTTTGTGAAATGCAAAAATAGTTTAAAAGTGCAGGTCGCCAGAAGGCTGGCTCTGAAATAAATCTCCCCCAACACCTCCCAAGTCGTCCCTCACTGCTCTGCGTCACATGCGGCGCATCCTCACAGAAACCGAGCGGAACCACTTCCATTCTGACCTGGATTACAGAACGCGCTGTGGAACGGGGAAGACACGACCGCAGGTAAATTCCGCCTCTGCTTATCGTTATAAGGCAGCATCTTTAAAAGTAGCATCTGAGCCTGGGCAACAGACCTGCTCCTTTTTTAGATAATTGCCGTATTAAGTCAACTTAGGTGTCTTAACCTAAATGGAAATAAGAAAAGCAAAACGCAGCAAACGCCATGCATCCATGCGTGCTGATTTTCCTGCTTTCAGTCGTTTAGCAGACAGATTTCACTTTGTCTGTAAAGCATGCCTGTATTCTTAGTGTGAACTAAGATTTCGGTATTCTTAGTGTGAACTAAGAATACAACTATCCGCCTACGCTCATGTGTCACGCAGAGCTCGATAGAAGATAAAGCAGGCATGGATGTTCTGCCCTGACCGTCCGGATGGAGTCAGGAGAACAAGGCTGAAGCGGAGCCGCTGCGCTGCACGAACAGCGGTAGACAGCCGGAGACATAAGACCAACTCCCTGCTGAGACTCTTCTTTTCCCATGGATCTGGTACACGCAGGTTAGGGAAGGGCGTGGCGCAGTGGTTCTCAGTTCACAGCTCAAGTGCAACTTTGTTAAAGCTGATGGTAAGTATCTATGTCTTTTGTAACAAGCTCAAATTATATCATAAGAAGTAGAAGATCCATTCCGAACATAGGCAGAGCATCAGACCAGTGTCTTAATGAGTCATTTCTGTTTGAGTGTTTCCAATGAAGTTATCTCTACAAACCATTAGCTGGTTTCTTGGCTAATGAAGAAACCAGCTAATGGTTTCTTCATTAGAAACCATCTGCATCTCTGGTCTTGATGCAGAGAAAAGTAGCAGTAAACAAATCATACAAAAATGTTTTTTTCAAGATTTCGGGTGAAATTTTGGTTAAAGAAAATAATATACATAGTTGATTAATAGCATTACATCTTCCATTATTTAATCAATTTAAAATGTCTCAAGTAGACATTTTAAATTGCTAAAATTATGCAATGATTAATTACCTCAAAGTAATATTAAAGAGCTTAATTGTAATATTTTATAATGTAGCTGGGATTAGACGCAGTCACTCTGGGATCAGAGTTGTCTTTGCAGAAAAGTTTTTTTTTTAACCTCAACACAAAAAACTCTGCTTGGCTCACACTCAGTGCCTAACTGTCCTCAGCAGAACAAAGCAGTGCAATGACTCAAGGACACATTGCTGCAGCAAACAGAAAGGGGAGGGACGAACCGCTGTCAGCCTCAGACCTTATATGGAAATGTGACCATTGTACTCTGGAAGTGTAGGAGGCGCTATTTCTTATATTATCTACGGTCTCCCATTTTTATTTTCTTTTTTGATCTGTGATATAGCTTAATCTTTAGGAAAGATTTTCATTCCCAACATGTACTTCAACTTCTCTCTTTTATTTACTTCAGCGCAGCTCACAGTTTTTTTCAATATACTTCTAAATCTGCTTCTTGGTCGCATCTTTTCGGGCCTGCTACTGCCTCTACCGGTATGGGGGTGGTAATACAACTAATATAATTACGTCACTAAGGAGGATACCACAAAGTCTTTATTATTTACTATTAATTTTGCCATTACTGGCGATTTAGAAGATAAATTATCTTCTAAAACACCATATTTTTCCATTTTCTTCAGGATGTAGAGCTAATTAGGTTGTATAAAAAATATACCTTTATACATTATAAATCATATCTATATATCTCCACCAGTTATATGAGGAACAAAAGAAATAAGACATGAAAAACATAATCAACTATAATAAAATACCATTTACAATATATATATAAGAAATTGAATTGAGCAAAAGTCAATAATTAACAAATTAATTAGGTTCACAGACAAATAGCCAGGTTGTTAAACAGATACAAGCAATAATTAACATTTTTATTTTTACTGTGCCATGTATATTAGTCTGAAACATTTTGTTGGTAGAGTCTTTGTAACAGCCTTAATTGGGTAGTGTCTCTTTAGTCTGTTAGTTCTTGGGATGAACTTCATGACTCGCACATAAAGTCCAACAATTCATGTCCCACCCAGAACAGTAATTATCGATGACAATCCCCCATTTCAGGATGAACCCTGTGAAAATGACTGTGTGGAGTATGATCTTGAGTGTGGAACGATGACTCTGCAGAACACTCCAAAGCTCTCACTTAAGGAAAAAGTTGAAGACGCTAACTTAAATTCTGCAGAAAATGGAGGACTGTTAAAGTTGCTAGATAACTACATAGATCTGTTTAATGGTCACTTAAGTCGCTCTTCTCTGGCAGAACATGTCATCATCACCGGGGGTTGCAAAGCCAGTTAACCTACCACCTTACCATACCTCCCCAGCTAAAACACAAATCATTGAAGAACAAGTACAAAAAATGCTAAAGAACAACACCATTGAACCTGCATCTGGACTGTGGGCAGTCATTGTGAACTCTTACCCACTCCACTCCTACGAGTGGATGAATCATTGGACTTTTTATCAAGAGGGAAGTTTCTGACAACATTGGACCTTGCTCAAGGTTACTGGCAGGTCCCCATTGCTGAAGAGGCTAAACTGTTCTGTTCTGACTGGCCTGATTTATAAATTGTGTGGAGGCAGTGTATCTGGATGATATTGTTGTCACATCACCAACTTTCGAGCAGCATCTACTTGACCTTGAGGAGGCCCTTTGCAGGCTTAGATCTACTGGCCTTTCATTGAAACTGAGAAGATTACAGAACTCACCTTCCTCAGCTACCGCGTTACACCATCTGGCATTCATCCTGACTCTGACAAGGTGAGAGCTGTGACTAAGTTTTAAGTGCTAACCACGAAAAAGTCAGAAAGCCCTCTTCAACTCCAGAAAAAGAATATCTGGCTGTTATCTGGTTTAGGTTTACATGTGACTATTTACACTGACCACAGCAGCCTCAAGTGGTTGATGCCTCGGCCCATCCCCCTGGTAGCCTTGCCAGGTTGTCTCTCCACCTTCAAGACTTTGACTTCAGCATCATCCACAAACCTGGAAAACGTAATAAGGTGCCAGGTGCCCTTTCACGTAACCCCCTCCCAGATGTGAATGAACCTATAGATCTTCCTCCCTATGCCATGATTGGAAACATGGATCTCCGGGCTCTGCCTTCTTTAATTGTCTCGGACCATCCTCATGTTCGTCAGTTGCAGTTGGAGGACCCAGTCACAAGCACTTTGCTCCGTCAATTCGAAAATGACCAACAGAGTGAGGAGGATAACCAAGATCTGCAAAAGTACATTGTACAAGATGGACATAGACTCTATAGTTCATTGATCCAAAAACAGAGTGTGGTCTTCACCCATGTAAGCAGATCAAACTTTTTGCTCCTACTGCACTCTGTAGTTATCTGCTCAAGTACTACCACGATCATCCTAGAGCCAGACATCTGGGAAATGCAAAAACTCTGGCATGCTTGAGTCTCAGATTCTTCTGGCCAAACATGAACTCTGATACAAAGAAATATGTGGTGTCATGTTGTTCATGCCAAGCCAACCCAAAGAAAACCAGCAGGTCTTATGGTCTCAATTGAACCACAGAGATCATTGGAGTGCACGGGTGTGGACTACATCGGCCCACTACCCCGGTCACAAAGGGAAAATGCATAAATCCTTGTTTTTGTGTACTATTTCTCCAAATGGATTGAAGTGAGCACTGTGAGGGAAGCAACAGCTCAAGCTGCTGTTAAGTTCATCACCGACATATTTCTCTGACATGGTTCTCCATCCTACCTTATTTCAGACATGGGAACACCTTTCAACAGTGAACTGTTTGAGTATGTTGCGTCACCACTTGGAACTGAGCACAGACTGACAAATGCCTACCAAACATGTAACTGAACATATAAATCACATATTGTAAACAGCCATTAGAGCATATATTGAGGATAAGCACACTTCCTGGGACAAATATCGTCCCGAGATCTGTTTTGCACTGCATACTGCACCTCACAAGAGTACAGGTTTGAGCTTATCAATGATGCTCTATGGACGAGAGTTGGACACTCCCTTGGACCTCATCACTCAGCCATCCTGGGAAGCAATGGGAATGAGACTTCTTACTCACCTGAGAGCGTCGATTTGGGATGCTCATGATCATGCTCGTTTGGTTCTCACAGAAAATCATTCAAGGCGAAAGCATTGCTACAATCTGAGACGGCGCCCAGTCTCTTTTAAAGTTGGAGATTTGGTCAGAGCAAAATTACAACCAAAGTCAGATGCATCGTCTAACTTTTCTGTAAAGCTGGCACCTCTCTACACAGGTCCCTACCGTATCTACAAAAGGATGTCCAATGTGAATTATTGTTTTACCAAAGCAGACACTGGAGAGAAAGCTGGAGTTTTTCATGTTGCAAACTTTCAACCATTCTACACCTGGGCTATAGCTTCATCTGACAAATATGCAAAGCGAAAGGGTTCTGCAGATTTGGATTTCAATTTTCCAGACAGCAGTTTGCCCCCTGATCTTTTTTTGACCCAGAGCCTGTCTGTGATATTGTTGACACTGCTATTGTCTCTCTGGGGACATCCCAGCTGGTCCTCTGTGGACCAAAACTCTATTCAAGACACTAACACTGCTTTGGAGACAGATGTTAACATTTCACCCCCTGCTGACAATGAGTGTGCTGTTGGTGTTTCTTATAACTTTAGAGCAAGATGTGTTCCGAGGGTCACTACTGACTCGTCAGTCTATAGGTGGACCAATCATTTTCATACTTCCAGGTTTGACCTGAAGTGACCTTATTTACATTTTATGTTCATTGGTGTTATGTGACTGTTGCTTCAGTTTTATGTGGATCATGTTTAAATGTTTCTCACATATTATGCTAATTGTTCTGTCATTCTAAAAAAGTACAAAATGGGAATTTCATTTTGTAATTGTCCTGAATGGCCCAAATTTATTTTTGTTTTACAGTATTTGTCCAAGTAGACATTCCCTTTGTTGGAAACTGTCATGTATGCCGGTTTTTTACTATTGTGCTGTGTATTCCCTGTTTACTTTTAGCAGCTTACCCATGCATGGAGGCTTATTATGTATCGACTGTGCCTTTGCTGTGTACAGCTGAGGGCAGCCTTTTTTGACTGGGGGGAATATGTAACAGCCGTAATTGGGTAGTGTCGCTTTAAGATCGCTCATGATGTCACAAGTATGCGCCGTTGCTTCCCTGTGAGCTTGGGAGAAACGTGCTACAGATCACTACACGGACTGAGATGGACATGGTAGCTCCCTAATTTTCAGTAACGTTACGGGTTGTATTTTTTTCATGTTTGCTATTATAGCAGCTGTTCAACTGGGCTTTGTAAGGTTGGTGAAGAGGACAACACTGTGGAATTCTTATATATAGGAAAAAAATAAGGTTAAACTATTTAATCTTCCAAGGTGGAAAATTTTCTTTGACTCTAAAACAATAAAAAAAACCTCAGTCATATAATCACAATATCAACAATTTGTGCACCGAGTAAAACATTTAGCATACTATAGGTAAATATTACCATTTAGTTTGGCTAAGAAGAATTTTTGCACCGTCCATAAATTACTTCTCGTAAATGTTTTATGTACCAGAGGAACACAATAATGCCTTCA